AAAGAAAACTGTTTTTACAAAAAGCTGTTTTTAAAGTAGCCTTGCAGTCACGGCTTCATGAATAAGAAGTGGCTGTTGAGTTATTTTTTCTTCAAGATATTTTTTTGGCACTTTGAGGACCACGAGATGATTTCATTCTATTATATTCAAGAGAAAAGCTGGGCCTTTTCTACAGCTGATATTTCCAAATGTGGGCAAAGCGGACCAAAATAAAACTATATGTTTAAATAGAGCTGTGGGAGAGAGGAAGAGGAGGTCAACTTGATTTTGGGGTGTACTGTCCCTTTAAGAGCTACACCTTTATCAGGACCTGTAAAGCAAATTTAAAAGGCAGATAAAGGGTGTCATTAATTTAATGTGCTTGCTGTCTGACATATTCTTGCTGATAACTGTTGTGAATGTGTGACACTGGGCTGAAACATATACCAGATGTTTAAAAAATAAATAAATAAAAATAAAAGTGTAAAATATAAATCTTGTATCCTTTTTGTTTCACGTGATGTAATTCTATTCTCTAAGTGGTATTTGGAGATGATTAGAGTGACCATAAACTTGTGTTTTTATATTTAAAACTGCGTCTAAAATGTGTTTATTGTAGTTCTTTTAGCTCACTTCTTTTACTTTTTTTTCATATTCAGTTAAGCTTTTAGTTTTCTATTTTTTTTACAACAGTAGTTTTGTTTGATATATCTATCTGATTTTTCTGTAACGCAGAAAAATAAAGGAGATCTTATCTATTTCATCTAATTATATTTAAGAGAAATCTGAATCTGTGAAAAATAATTAGTAAGTAGAAAAAGAGTAAATGTGTAATCTTTTCTGTACAGCTGTGAGGAAAGAGCAGTCACCTTTATGCTTGAAGTAGGCAGTGCACTTTGTTCTCGGTTATTTTCCATGGATAGATCTCCTCAGGTTCAAGGTTTAATGACAAATTTTTGTGTGTTCAGGTCAGCTTACCGCTGGTTTATCAGGTCATGTTAGCTGGCTGGCTGCTGGTGCCATCTCATGGCCGGTTTATGAATTACATTTGCCACAATTTAAGAAGGAATTACATATATATATTGTACTTTGGAGTATGGATCAACAACAGAGAATATATTTTAAGATTATTATTGGAAAAACTAAACTGATGGTCGAGTCAGGTTTGATATAACAGAAGATTAATTCATTATTGCCCACAGTAGTCATATGTGATGAGTAATTATAATGAGTAATTATTTACACATATTAGTAAGATTGATAGTTATGCTTAACAGACTATTCACTTTAATATATGGCTCAAAAATCTTTGATTGGTCCATTTATTTATTTATTTATTGTCTATAATATAATAGATTAGGGCTGGGCCATATTATACCGTTCACGGTAATACCGGTATAATGTTAGGCAACGATAGGAAAATTAAATATCGCGATAGAATATGAGTAAAACGCGCATGCGCAGTGCCTTTGTTTTCATACGCACATGGCCGATTGTTGAGTGAAACAGATGAACCAGAATTGGTTTGTAAAAATGGTGCAACTTCAGTGATGTGGAACTGGTTTGGTGTTTGTCCGTCAGATACACGACAAAGCACATTTTTTTGCAGAACATGCAAGCGGCCGTCGTTATTGTCGTATTTGTCGGACTAAGATGCTCTTAAATCTGGGAGTAATCTGGGTCCTAAACTCCGTATGCTTCAGGTCAAACGAACACTGCAGCATCACTGAGCGTTAAAAACTGTCTAAATTCTTTCATCTTTAATAAAACGATCAGCATTGCTGCTTTACCAGGTGTAACTATGAAGTTTAACTTCCAGGCATCCATGAAAACAAAATTTATTACATTTAACGGAGTTAGAAGTTAGCAGGAAGCTAGCGGAAGTTAGCTCGCTAGTTTCGCTAGTTACCTAAGCATGATATTGCATGTTCTGACTGAGAGATTTCTGAAAAAAATCAAACGTACAGCTCTGCTATCACTTCCAACATAAATGAAGACAGGAAACTAAACAGCAGTGACGTTTGTAGGGTTACTGAAGTTGGGCTAGCTGGTATATAATGATGTGCTACGTGATCGCTAGCGACACAGCTATGTTAGCATAACATAAACAGTGAAGCTGGAGGACGAACACTAACACTTTTCCACTTATAAAAGTTAACGTGAAGGTTCTTCATGGTTAGAGACAAATGCAATCGCATGGCAGGATGCTGTAAACGGACCAAACTTCAGTCAGGAGAACAACTGAGATAATCCATCCACAATACGAGGTTAGTCATTAATATACTGCAACAACATGGGAATAGAGCAGCTGCCAGAGAATTCAACATTAATGAATCAATGGTACAGAAGTGGAGGAAGCAAGAAGAATGAGTTTAATAAAGTTTGATTTATCTGACTGCTTTGTTTCGCTTAATGTGCCTTATAATCCCGTGCACCTTATGGTCCGAAAAATACGTACTGCACACTGCAGTTTAATGTTGCAAAGCACCTCTTTTTAACTTCAGTGGATATTATACATGGTTATGCTCAGGATATGTCAGCCCATTTCTACTGGAAATGCCTTTTGGTTAAACTTTCAGCAAGGAATTTGCATTTGCACTGTTACATTTTTATAAAGCTTTAATGTACATAAAAACCAGCTTCTTGTTTAAGTGAAAATAAATGGAAGGTTGTCTTTTTGCGCTAGTAATGTTGTGGAGTTGTATTTTGTCTCGCATCAATTATATCGTCAGTTATATCGTTATCGCAAATTTTCAAATATATATCGTGATAAATATTTTTGGCCATATCGCCCTGCTCTATAAATAGATTCCAGAGATGGGCAGTAACGCGTTACTGTAATCTGATTACTTTTTTCAAGTAACGAGTAAAGTAAGGGATTACTATTGCAAAAACGGTAATTAGATTACCGTTACTTTCCCGTAGGAACGCTGCGTTACTGCGTTACTAAAACCGTGATTTTTTGCGAGAATGTCTCATGACAGTGACAAGCGAGTGCGCCGTTAGTGACAACAGCTGTGTGCAGATCAACAATGGATCACATATCGATTGTGGGAGAGAGTATGAGCGTGCAGCGTTTAAAGCGTGGAAGTACTGACCTTACTTTGAGTTTGATTCCATAAAAAGTGACAAAAACATTAGCGTCCATCGTGCGTGGGAAGAAAACTTCTTTTTACAGCGAAAAAAACCCCTAAACTTCCAAGCAAGCACCGAGTGCGCAACGACGTAATGGGAAATTCACAGAGAAACTCGCGGATTCTTCAACTGACCGCGGCACACCTGCACCAGGGTAAACCTCCGCCTACCTAGTCCTGCTTTACAGGTGAAAATAGAGCAACAGGACCGCTGAGTCTTTGACTTTATTTATTTTCTGCTGTGTTTTACTTGCATCTATTTGAAAGAGTGAGTGTAAACACAAAAAATATTTTATTTTATGTGCTGGAATGTGCAGAAAATAGGTTTAAATGTTAAACTAATTTATTCAACTCAGAGAATGTTGCATATAATTAAATTTTTGCTTGATGCATAAAGTTAAAAGATTAAAACTGATAAAACAAGTTAAAAAAAGAGACTTTTCCATTTGATTACATTTTGTATGATGGATTATGCAGAAAAAGTAGAATTGGGCTGAAAGATCTATCGCTTTATCACCTACTTCAGGTTGTAAATCGTGTTTTTAAAAAGTAACTAAGTAACTAAGTAATTAATTACTTTTGAAAATAAGTAATCAGTAAAGTAACGGGATTACTTTTTGGGGGAAGTAATCAGTAATTAGTTACTGATTACTTTTTTTCAAGTAACTTGACCAACACTGATAGATACTAAAGGTTGCAGATTCCTGATATGCCTGGTTCAGAACGAACAATTAGATTATGGATCTAATTGTTCGTTCTGAACCAATACAACATAAGTATTGCACTTTTGGTTCTGAAGACCACCACCACAGTGGATTATGCGGGACTTACAGTCATTTTTAAATATAATTCTTCATTTTCGGAAGCTCAATAATAATAACTGGACTGTGACATAATTTTATTTTATGAAAAGCCTTTGCAGTGACCGCCTGATTGCAGTCTGGAATCTATGGACAAAATACCGTTTCCTCCATTTAGATGCTCTGCCAGGCGTTTTGTATCTAATAGCTGAAAAGCTGTTCTGTTGCGGTGACATCAGTGCCATGGAATCTATTTGCCTTAAAAAAGCCCTCTTGTGTTGCTTTTTGTCCACTTCAGAAATCATCACACAACCATTAAACACTGGTGACCTGGCAGCTATGTGTGCCCATGCTGTTCAATTGGCTCCATGTTTGACATATAATGTGGCCTGCTTCGGACCATGTTTCTCTCCTTCTCCATACTTTTGTCTTCTGCCTCCCTGAGAGTGTTCTCATCTTGGTTAGATGTTGTCAAATTGTTTTCCTTAGCCATGAAAATAAATCTGTGATCATGCACTTTTTCAGTCTTCTGTAGTCTTTTAGACCTTTTATTCATTTTTTAAATGTCTGATTGCTGATTTGGCCACTCCTACAGTTTTTGCTCCCTCTCTCTATGCTGAGAGTTTTTATTTATGTTATTGCTTTGTTGTTGTTGGTTTTTTTGTTTGTTTGTTTTTTAGCTTAATGGCAGCCTTCCTCACTTACACTGCCATCTCTTCTTCTCTCACATTTAAAAATGCAGCGAAAAGCCATAAAATACAAGTTGAACTTCAGAATATTAGGTGTGCTTAATTTCTCATGAAATAATAAATGGACAGGTGTCACAAATTAATTTTCAGTCAATTGTCCAATTATCTTTAAGCCTCTAAGTTTGAGGGCTCTGTATAAAACATGTCTAGTTCCCAGACATTTTTTTTGTAAAGCCCGCTAAGCTATAACTGGAAGTCTGTACTTCAGTCACATCCTGATGGTTTGGTTTAAAATCCACTGTGGTGGTGCGCAGAGGCAGACTTTTCCAGCGAAAATCTGCTGGGATCGTTTTGAGCCGTCAGAAAGTGTACTGTCTCTTTAAGAACCGGGAGGCGGGATTTATTTGGCAGGAAGTTAGCCGCTGCTAACAGGAAGTGGAATAATGAGGACGGATTGAGGCGCAGGAATTGGCGAACAGCAGCGAGTTCAAACATTGACCCTTATTGCCGTTGCAACAGTTCCCTCTGAAACAGGTAACGTGAACGGACTGTAACTTTAGTGCGTGTGAACGTTCATCCAGGTGTTCTTCTGCACGTCGTCTCTGTTTGCGGTGGTCTGTTTCCACGTCTCGTGGGCTCCTCGCGGCTTTGTATCGCCTCAGACAGCTCAGACATGGCTCAGTGTGCTTACGTTACTGAACAGCATACCAGGGACAGACAAAAACACCAAAGCAGTACTTTATTGCAGCTCAGGTGAGGCTGGATGTGCTAAAATAGCCTCAGGTATGTGTGCTGTGGTACTGTTCCTCGGGTGTCATATATACGTCTTGTCTGCAGCTCTGAGACTTTTACAGAAGCTTTTGAAATGGGTTTCATCACACACCTGGCTGTAAACTCACCTGCGTTTACCTTCAATAGTGTAATCAATAGTGAGGAAGGGTGAAACAGCAGAAGGGAAAAGAGGGCGGTACCCAGTCACCGCTCTATTTCTGTTACTGTGTAATCTAGGGTTTCTATTCATCCTTCTTGTTCCTGTGCTCACGGGTTAACGCAAAGAAACTCTCCTTACTGAAGGTGTAGTATCTGTATAGTGGAGGTAAAGAAACAGTAGGATGCTCCTCATCCTCCTAATCTTCTTTACAGGTGGAACAAGCAGCCAGCCACCAGTGTATGAAGAAGAGCCGAAGGCAGCTATGGTGAGTAAAAACACTGCAGACAGTGTCTTGATCTTCTGTGTAGGTTACCCAAAACTTTCAGGAGGACCAAAGTCTGTCTAGAAGGAAGTCTAATCATCTCACAGCCACCCTGGTAACGGTTTCAGGCTCGTATTTTGGAGAGTCATATCAATTGCTGTTATTTTTAAGGCTGTTCTTGGTTCCTAACATCCTATATTTAAATTAAATTCATCCGAAAAGTACGCAAAGTTGTTGCCTTCTGTCTGTTGTTAAACTTGGACAGAGGGCGTTCATATTTGCATCTCCCGCCTCCCGGAGAAGTCACTAAATGTTTCCCTTACCTTTAAACTATCGTTTATCGTTACGACAGAAACAATTCATGAGCATTTAAAAACATAAAGTTGAATAATAAAGTGGTAACATGAGACAGAAGTACAAAGACGAGACAAGTGTATAAAAGTATGTTCTGCTACTTCTACTGCCATCTTTATTCTCGTTGATTTCAGTTTTGCATTCTTTGAGCGCAATCTCTCGCTCTTTCTCTCTCATAGAATATTTGTATATGGGTGTCTTATTTCTTTCTCCTCTTTAATAAAAGCAAAACAATTATTTCATTAAGCTGGGACAGCTGATGTATCTTCATTGTGCTTAGTTTAGCGCTGCACATTAAAGTATTACAGGCCAAACCGGTCTTGTCACTTCCGCTTTCCTCCTCTTTGCTTCAGTCTTCAACGGTGGATCTCAAGACAAAGGAGGAGAAGGATGCAGAGCTGGACAAGCGAATTGAAGCTCTGAGGAAGAAGAATGAAGCTCTGATGAAGAGGTACCAGGTATGGAAATATTTTACACGCTAAATGTATCTTTAATACTACCATCTTGATGTTGATAACTGTCCTCACCGAAGAATGATGACATCCCCAGAATGTCTCAAAACACAACGATTCACTTCTACATAAAAGCAGCTTGTTTTACCACATTAGTCAAAGATTATACTGCATACTTGAGACAAAAGCCAAGACAAATTAGGACTGTGGTTAAAAGATATTTCAACAACTTCTTTTTTTTTTTTTAAGTTTGCTTTAATGAATTCAAGTTTGAAATACCTTAAAATCTTAAGTGGCCTTTATAAACATTCAGTGGAGCCAATCATGCTGTGTGCGCCCCCAAAAGACCTGTTTTGAATCAGGAAACCCCAAATAACAGTTTTTGTTTGTTTGTTTCAAACCATTTGTCTCTTCTGAATTTATTCACGGCAAGCAGCCAACACTTTCAAGTTGAATTTGAGCTCACTGCGTTTTGATCTTATTTGTTGGGATGTTGAGGCGATTTTTTTCAGGATTTACTGCTACTCGTTTCTATTTTTTAAGGAATTCTTCACTTCATGAAGCTGAATGAGCAACATGGTCTCATCAAAAGATTTGGGAGCTGTTTAATAAGTTAAATAGTTGTCGTCATCTTATTTCATTAGATTTGTAGCCACTGAAATATGATGAGAAACCTTTAGAAAACCAAATTTTTCTTTTCAGGTCTCAGATAAGATACAACCGCAGCTTCTCTTGAGCTTCACATGTACAGACTGAGAAATTAAAAAAAAAAAAGTGTCTGAAGGATGAAACACAATATCATCAGTTCAGAGCGATTAAAATAATTTTCTTTTTAATTGGGAAATAGACACTCTTTTCCCATAAACAAACAGTTTTTGGTTTTCCCGATATTAGTGGCTGTCCTATTCCCTTTGCGCATTGCATTGTGGGAGAAAAGTGTCCATCAGCTGCACACGGATGACTACTTGACTTAATCTTCTTACTTTTGTCGTATGAACACAGAACACACCCCAGACCTGTTTGTCTTTGGTGCGTTTCTTATTAAGCATTAGTCTCACTGGGCTCCTGCATTTATTTATTTTTTAACAGGAAATAGAGGAAGATAAGAAGAAAGCAGAGCAAGAGGGCATTGCGGTGACTACACCTCGTAAGCCCCGCCCCCATGAGCCGAAGACGGAGAAAGAAAACTTCACTGTCACAGTCGACCTTTCTAAAGCAACAGGGGTGAGAAATCAAGTCGAACTGAACATCCTTTGTGTGGTGGTGCCGGTTCAGATTATGTTGTACTTCCATCACTGTCATTTATTCACTTAATTTATGAAGCATTTTTAACCTACAACAACAGGGCCGACCAAAGTGCTGTACAGTCAAACCGAGTAAGAGATAAAAGCATCTGAAACAGGATATGTGCGTGAAGCATTTCAGACAGATAAAATGGAAAATAAAGGATTTTAAAATTAATCCGTAAACTGGAAGCCAGCAAAGAGAAGCGAGCTGCTTTCGCCCGCTCGCACTAGATAAAAATCAAAACAAAGTGTACTGGTGCAGATCTGGCGTCAGAACAGAAGTGTTGTGGGCAGGTGCCAGACTCTAACTGGGCCACATATGTGGAAACTTCAGTCACCATTGCACACAGCTATTTTTCTTTTTTATTGGATTTTCTGGGATTAAAAATGATTAAATATATATTTCACTTCTTTGACACAAAGTAGTGATGGGAGACGTTTATCTGTTTTTACAAATCGTGGCAGGGATTCCTACTGATTACAAATCTGTAAAGGTAATTGTCCTCTAACACTCTTCTGCTGGCACTTTGCTTTCAAAGGCCTGAAGTACTAAGCCTAGGATGGCTGGAGGGAACAGTGAAGCAGCGGGCATAAAATTAGAGCACAGCACACACTACAAATACCCAAAGTTACCCTGTGAGAGTTCATGAGATGAGTTTTCTCTTTAACGTGTTTATCCATTCATGCAGCTCTGCTGGGCAAAAATGGGATTTTAAAAAGGCATGTTGGGTAATTGTCTTGAAACAGAGCTGAGATGATTGTACCTGCTGTACTAACATAATGTTGTTAACTGCAGATGTTTGTGCAGAATGCACTTTAGCCAGCTCATTAAAGTACCCGACCATGCTGGAGAACTATCTGTGTAATCGGTTTATCCAGCTCTTTCTGCTCGGTATGCAGATCATCTGTTTGTTAGATCTATCCTTTTCTCCTGCAGACAAACAGGATTTAAGCGTGCCTTGTGAACACAAATTGGACAAATGCCGTGGACACATTTGTCTGAAAAGGAGAAAAAACATGGATTGCATATAATGGATGGATGTAGCCATAGCGACATTGACTCTGATTTTTCTGAAGCCTGCATTTTGGCTGCCAGGATGTTGGGGGGGTTGTTGTTTGTTTGTTTTTTGCTTGTTTTTGCACCAAAGGTGTCCTCCTTTGGGGTGAAAACAGTGCAGTTCTAAATGATCGGCTAAGCCTGCCAAGCTGATCATGCACCAGAAAAATGCCCAATAATTAGTAACAGAGTAATAATACTTGAATTGGCCTCATGGACACATGGGCGGTGAACTATCCAGAGACTAGATTTCATACCGGTCTGCAAACATGTTTGCTTTTCCTGTAAAGGCTCATTTTAACACAGGGACTCACTTTAGGGTGCAGCCTCAAGTGGTCAGTAGAGGAACTGCAGGGAACTGGCAAACCACAACAACATCATGATTCCTTTAGAGCTGCATTCATGGCCCATTGGTGAAAATCAGGGTTTTTAACGCTCTGTTTTTTGGCACAACCAGTCCCCCCCCCCATTAGTCGTTTAGTTTGCCACGTTTCTAATTAGTCTCCTGTGGGCTGAAGAAGCTGCTGGTAAGCAGATCCAGGGGGGATACAGGTGTAAGAGTGGAGTGAGCGCCTGCTGAGATCCAGATTGCCTCAGAAAAGACTACCGATCACTGCCGGCACCTAGATTTCAAACTGAAAAGGTCATAAGACAAAAGAAAGGCCTGGAGAACAGCAGGGGGCTGCCTGCTCCACACGAGCGCCTGTCTGACTGGTTAAAGGGTTGATCTGGGCCCATTAGTCTGTTGGACCTTTTCTGAAGAGGCCTTTGAAAACCTGATGAACGACGATGGCCTCTTTCTGTCTCATAACTCAGCCTCTCAGAGTTCATCATGTTGTAGCTCTTTGCATAATCCATAGCGCAGATTAGTCTTTAGTTCATGTGACATTCATTAGATTGACGAGTTTGTAACTGTAAGAGTTGAGCTGTTCCATTTCCTGGGTTGAAGATGATGTGTTGTTATAATCTTCACCCTGTTAGTCCCTTTATATCCTAAAAGTTACGGCGTGCTATTGCTTGCAATTTTTTGAAACTGTCTTGAAATATTAACATTCCTGACAATACTGAAAAAAGTAATTGCATAATAATAATATAATGTATTATGAATTACCATTATTACATAATATTAATAATGTAATAATGGTGTTTGAAGGCAATGAAGGTCATTCTCCTTCTTTTCCAATGAGCTGCTGTCAAGCTATCTAATTTAAAGTGTGAATAAAATACGGCTTTATCTGACTTCTTATGAGCTCTACTGCTGATAAGTACCTTTTTAACTCAGATTTTTTTGACAAAAATCTAAATGAAAAACTTCAATTTTACACCATAAATCAACCAAACCTTTATTTTCTTTTGCCATGCGCTGTAACTCTTCTAGCACCACAAAAAAATCCAAAATGTATCCAAAACAGATTTTTCCCTCACTTATAATTTATTGGTAGCCAAATATAACTAATATGATCTATAAGTTGTTATTGATCCACATTATAACAGGCTAAAATGGACACTTAGGTGTTTTGATTAGTCAAAGAATCAGGAATAAGGATGGTGTTTTTAAACTACCACATATGTCATGTTGAGCCTCCTCCAGCAGCTGACTGAAATAGTAACTAAGGTGCTGTTAAAAACACTCCGTCCACAGTGAAAGTCTGTGTGTGTGCTGCTTACAGGAGAAGAGAGTTGTGAACGAATGGAGACCGGGAACTCCTCGCGGCCGGAAGACATCAGAGGAGAGCGACAGCCACAGAGGGCAGAGTGATGGCCGCAGCCCCCCCAGGAGGACCGGGTCTGGGCGAATGGGTCGGGGAGGTCAGAGAGGAGGAGGTGGTGGAGGAGGTGGTGGTGGAGGAGGAGGAGGAGGAGGTGGTGGTGGTGGAGGAGGACAAGTAGGACAAGGAGTAGGAGGTGGGGGCGGAGGTCGCCAAGACAGGAGAGACTGGGAACCGAGAACACCCAGAGATGGAGAGCCTGGTGAGGCAGGAGGCCATGGACGCAGAGGAGGAAGGAGAGGAGGAGGAGGAGGAAGAGGAGGGGGAGGAGGAGGAGGAGGAGAAGGGACACCAGGAGGAATAGACAGGAAATCCAAGGTGGGTGAGGATGAGCTGTTTGAGGGAGGTTTTCACACAGGATGCAGCTGCATGATGCAAGACACTGAAGATAATACATTTAGAGTGTGACTGTGTGGTATACATGGTAGTGCGATTACTTGAAGTCATGTATCAATGAAGTCTCATGGGGCTTAGCTTAATTTATTAACTGTTAAAGTCCATTCAGAGGTATGAGAATATGTCACATTTGTTGTCATATATTAAAAAATTCATATTAAAGTGAAATAATAAACGAAAGATGACTATCTATAATCTATAAATGATCTATAAACCGAGCTAATCCATATCCAGTTGTGTGTCTTGTTTAAATTCGAGTGCACGACCTGTGAATGTTCAAAGCTGCTTCTGTTCTTGTGCTTTTAAGCACCGAATGTTGAGTTTGTTTAAAACAGGAGCTGGGATGATTTCAGTGTGTAGAAAAAACATGATACAAAGAATTTACATGTGTATGTAACATTTACAAAAGTATTGCTGTAGCCACGGCACGTGTTCTAACTTTGGTCCCAGCCATTTTAATCTTTTAACACAGAAGTACTAAAACTGGGATTTTTGGGAAAATACTGCAGAATTTTTTTTTTATTTTGGCTCAAAAATCTGCTGCAGTTACCTCCTGGTGGAGGACTTTGTAACATGGACGATGCAGTCATTTTCCAGTATTGTTAAAACGGTTGTAACACTAACATCCTGTTCAATAATAACTCAAATGTCACAAACTTCCTGACAGGAATGGGAGGAGAAGAGACGACAGAACATTGAGAAGATGAATGAAGAAATGGAGAGGATAGCAGAGTATGAGAGAGGACAGCGGGTATGGAAGTCATTGGTTTTTTTCAGCTGCCATGTGTCGTAGCAGGTTTGATTTCCAGATATGGATTTTACAGACAAGGCTCTGAAAGACAAACATTATAATAAAACTTTTCTAACCACTTATTTTTATTTTTATTTGCTTAATATAGCAGAGATGTGTGTAAATGCATAAATTGTTGTCCGGTGAGACGGCACAGATGGATTGTTATGACTGTACACACACCAGATGTGTTTTTTTTATCCTCTTAAATTACTATAACATAAATTTCCCATAAGATCAAGTGTTATGAAGCTAACCGTCTCTGCTTCGGTCTCGCATTTAAACAGTGTGGTTCTTCTGCGCAGTATTTTTGTTTGTTTTGCTTTTTTAAAATCATTTAAAATCAGCGAGGAACTAGCCTGAGCTGAACAGAGTCGTTCCGTTTCACAGCAGGATGGAGACAAACCGACCCGTAACTTCCTGGATGACCCGAGACGTTCAGGTCCAGCCCCGGACACGGACCGCAAGGAGGGCAGCCGGAGACATGTACGAAACTGGGGGGGACTGGACTTTGACAATGTGAAGACAGGGTCTGAGCTGGAAAAAGAGTGGACCGTGAGTACTTCTTTAAAAATGGGTTTCGGGTGGTTCTGTTTATGAGCATTACCTTTGTCTTTATTTAAACTCCTGTGGCTGAATTATTTACTCTGACTTCTCTGCAGAGCCGGAGACCTGGTCCCAAAGGCTCTATGGATATGACGATGTCTATGACCGGCCGGGAAAGAGCAGAGTACCTGCGCTGGAAGAAGGAGCGTGAGCAGATAGATGAGGAGAGATTAGCACGCCATCGTAACGCCACAGGCCAGTGGAGACGAGAGTGGGACGCACAGAAGACGGACAACATGTAAGAGTCTTTCTTTTAAAAGTAAACTAAGATCCCGTAATTCAAACTGCAGAACAAAAAGATGCCAGGAAGTCTTAAGGCAGCCTCTGCACATCAATTCATCCATCGAGTCACTTTGATAGAGCATTGAGGGGGCCTCCTTCTCCCCAGCCACCTCCTCGAGCTTATCGGAGGCCTCTGCAGAGCTCTTAGATGAAACTGTGGCAAAGAAATGGATCAAAAACCGTTCAGAGTCTGAGAGTCGGCACAGTATTGAAGTGGAAGATGCTAACAATCTCAAGGAGAGGTGACCACAAACCTGACAGTGACTTTGATGGAGCTTCAGAAGTCATCTGCAGAGTTTAGAGACTGAGCCGGAGGGACGATCATCTCAGCAGGACTCCAGCAGAGCAGCTGGACAACCTGCTTGGACTTTATCAGATGGAATTGAAAGGAGATGCTTCTCAGTGGCAGGGGCGCAGTTCAAGGGAGAATAAATGCAGCAAAGTAGGATAGAGTGTAGTGAGCCACAGCATTCATGAGGCTTCAGGACCGGTCTGTGACTGTCTTTGGTTGGTCCCGCAAAAGTCCAGACTTAGAAACCCTCATTGAATATCTGTGTTGTGTAGTAGTAGTCTGTAGTGTCTGAAATAGTGCCGCTTATGTTGGGTTTACTAAAGCTGTGCTACAGAACTTTAGTGACTTTACAAAGATGGAGGGGGAGGCGATAGAAGGCGTCTGCTGGGATAAAGATGGCGACAGACTGACGTGGCAGAGAGGACGCTAACGTTTGATGTGTGTGTAACCCTGTGGCTGTTTTCACAGGTTCAAAGAGGACCCATATGCGGCCACTGAGGGTATCCCATCGGAGGGCGGCAGGAGAGGCAAGTACACACAGACGCACGCACACCCATCGCATGCTGTTGCACAACACAGCAGCTGACCCTCGATCCACCTCCATGCCACGCCTTCGCTCGTCTGACACGATGTCTCTCTGCTGTGTTGATGTATACACGTCAAACACCCCACTCTGTATGAGAGGCAACACAGTCGCCCTCCTGAGTAATTAAGCTCGTTATGTAAATGCTCGCCGTGTTTCCCCAGAGTCCAGATTAAGCTTGGAGTTAAGCCGCGGTCGTTCTGTTCGGAGGAGTCCGGATTTCCTTTATTGTGCTAACTGACTTTGACCAACCCGACCGAAGCTCCTGCATGTTTATTTTATTTTTCAAAGGACTGAAGACTTTATTTGACTAGGCAGAGATTTTAATGGTCTTTACTTAGTAGCAAGATAAACGATGTTTACAGAGTTGCAGTGAGTGTTTATGTCAAAACCTTATTTCACAGATAATGTTTTTGGTGTGTGTGTGGCAGACGTAGTGTAACGTGTTTGTGTGTCCTCTCTGCAGCGCGGGGGCATAACTCTCGTACAGAGCCTCGGGGCAGGGCCTCAGGTTAGACCACAGCATGGGCCTGAGTCTGAGTGTGTCTGTGTGAAGCAGCTGCACCCAAAACCAGCCTCACCCCTAACTCACATGCCCGACTCACCCTCATGATGGCGCAGCCCTTAATGGTGTTATTATGACAATCAGCTTAGTCCACTATTGATACCAGCGTTTAATTCCACTTCTTTTTAGCTCATGTTAAGACCCGGGGCCTGTAGCATTCATCTTTTCTTATCAGGCTTCACTCCTTAAGACAAGGGAAGAGCTGACTGTAGTTACAGCTGCAGTATGCAGGGTCCAGTTATGTGAACAGGTCGTTGAATACAGGCATTCCTGCAGAAAGGTCGAGGCTTAGGTGCCTTGTTTAAAGATTATAGGACTGTTATAGTTGTATGTCATCGTTCAATGAACGTTAAGAAGCATTACAGTTGGATCTTAAGGATCTCTCTGTTATTGATTCACCAAGGAAAGATTATTATTGTTATTATTATTATTATTTTAAACTAAAGTCTCTCATACTGCCTGAAATGGAAAAGCACAGGATCCCCTTTGGGAATGTTATTTTTCCAGAGAACTGATTGGTCAGTACAGTAGTTTCCGTGTCCCACCTCCTTAACCTGGAGTTAAACCTGAAGTAAACATGCTTCATGTTACAGGCCCCAGAAAGTCCAAACCAAAGGCAAACTGTCTTCATTCAAGGCACTGAAATTAGGAAACTTGTGTCTAACTGTGAGAATTAAGCAACAGTAGCAAATCATGTTTTTAATTTTAAATGCAGGTTAATCTTGAGTCTTTGGAAATATCCAAATACTCTGAATCTGTCTCAATTAAACCTTCAGAGACCCTGATGTAAATTCTGACTGCTCTCATCTCTAAAATCACAGACGTTGTGACAGCTCGGAGAGGTTTGCCTTTGTGTGAGCAGCTCTAATCTCTCTGTGGCTGGAAACGCTTCAGATGCTGCCGCCTGCACACACAGCGACCTCAGGATGTCCACCAGTGTTTGTGGATGGTCCTCAGTTTTTGAGCCTTGGCTTTGGCTGCGTTCATGTCTTCACCGTTGTTTATCCTTCAGTCCTCTTCAGTCTTTCATCCTTTGTCTCCTCACTGATCCCTTCTTTTCGTTTGTACTTGTATCTGTCTCTTTCTGACCTTTTAATGACATCCTCTCCTCTCTCCCTGTTGAGCTCTTATCCTCCTCCCTCGTCTGAGCTTTTGGTCTCTGACCTTCTCCTCGTGTCCTCTGCTCTTCTTCCCTCTCTGACTCTTTTTTTCAAATTTCCACATTTCTTTTTTCTATTGAGGTCATTCCATAAAAAAATCAGCCACATCTTAAAAATAGGGAACATGTGACCACCCCAAAAATCAGCCTTTTTTCTTTTTTTCTTCTTTCCTTTGTCTTTTAATATGCAACACATTAAAAAATTTGCCTTTAAATTGACTTTGAACATCAGTATGTGTTAATGTGCCGCTGGCCAAAACAAGTTAAAGCATGTGGAAAGTCTCCTTGATACTTGGTTGATCTTCTAACTGTGAGTCTTTGTGTCAAACCCGAGTCATCAGATTGGTCCCATGATGCTGAAAGTTGGTCATAAAAAATGTTATAAAACAAACATTTTGGCTTCAGTTTGTGACACTGAAAACTCGATGTGGATTTCTCCTGAGACAAAATACTGGAAAAAATATTTTTTTCCTCCTTCGTCTCCATTAGCTGCTCACCTAATCAACACCTTTCTTTCACCCTCTGTACAACATCTCTTTTTTCTTTCGCTCAAATTTCCAGTTGTAACTCTAAAGGAGTCCAAACGAGGTGGCTTTAAAATTTGGAGGTTCTCAGTTTTACTCGTAGTATTTCCTCATGCCTCTTCTCGTCTTTATCTTAAAAACCTTTTCTTTCTCTCTTGATATGATTGATGGCTTTCTCAGAGCCATCAATAATAATCATAATACACATCTGCCGTCGTCCCAGAGCTCAGACGCACTCTGCAGCTGACCCAGCGGGACGGCTGCTGTCACGCAAGTTATGACGTTAACTCGCAGACCGCAGCGGAGGCGGAAGAATCGGTGGAGGCAGTTTTTATTGAAATGTTTTATTTTTAACATTATTAGATGGACTTTCACATGCCTGGATACTTTCCAACAGACAGCCAGTGGCATAAAGACATGTTAATGACACAACGTGTGCCCCCTCTCCGTTTTGAATTTTTATTTCTTACTTTAAAAAAACACTCCTGTGCCTCACTTTTGAGCAGTGACGATGAAACATCCATCACCTGCTTTCTGCTTTTTTAGATTAAACATCACAGCAGTTCATAGTTTGATGTATACTCACCATCGATGTCTCCTTAGATGACAGTAAGCGACCTCCGAAAGCGCCGACATTCGGCGACTTCCTGTCCCAGGGCAGGACCCAGGGGCCGAGGGGCGACCGGAGCAGAGGGAGGGGCCGAGGACAGAAGCAGAGCTACAGGTAAAACTTTTCTCACCATCAGCTGACAGATCCATTTACTTTACTTTTTAATGTAATTCTTCATCACAAAGCTGTTCTGCAGTGAAGAAACTGAAGTCTGAAACACTAAAATGACTTTTAAACTAGTTGTAATGTTCCTCATTTTCCTTTATAATAAACATTTTAACAGCTCTTGTTGAGAATTGCGATGGTTTTCGGTGTATTTCTCACGCTAATGCGATGTCCACTGAACCTTTTATTCTGAAACTTTTCACAGCATGCATGACAACCGCTGGGAGGGAGAGAAGGAAGAGGAGGAGAAGGAAAAGGAGGAGAAGGAAAAGGAGGAGAAGGAAAAGGAGGACAAGACGAAGAAGGAAGAGAAGAGTAAAAAGAAAGATAAGGAAGAAGAGAAATCTAAACCTCCCACAGTACAGAAGGTAACGGGTGCATCTGGACTTCTATGAATAATAAAGTATCTGTCATGCTGAGCTTTACTTCAGAGAAATGGATCCTTTTTCTTTTTGTGAGGTGTGAATTTTTTTTTAGTTTCTGAAATGGGACACGAGAGCCGGTGCCTTAAATGCTCCTGCCACTTCAATCAAACATCCAAAATAAAGCATTTGTTGCAGGATTTTAAATAAATAAATCGCTAACTCTTTGTTTCTTTGTTTCCATCTTTCCTTAGGTGCAGGAGAAGAGTGGAGGAGGAGAGGATGATGATGAATGGGAGGATGCCAGTGACGATGGGGAATATGAGGAGTTGAGCGACTCGGAGCAAGACTCCAAAGGCGACGAGAAGAAGGACATCGGAAAGGAGAAGCAAGCAAAGAGCAAAGAGTCCTCCCCAAAAACTCCCAAACCTCGTTCTCGTCAGGCATCAGCAGGAAGCCCCAAAGATCAGCGGACTCCCAGGCCAAAGGTCCACATCCCGCCCCCAGCGGCCGCTCAGGAGTCCCCCGAGGGAGGCAAACCCCTCAGCCCCTTCTCCCCGCTGGACGGCCACAAGCCTGTGTCAGACTGGGGGGAGGAAATGGAGTTGCTGTCACCCAGGAGCAGCATGGGAGGCGAGAGCCCGCCGAAACCCTCCAGCGTTGATTCCAGCCCCCCACAGAAGAAGGAGGAGGAGGAGCAGCAGCAGCAGGAGGAAGAGATCAAGAGCCAAGCTGCCAGCTCCAGTGAACCTGCCGAGTCACAGAGCGAGGAGCATGCAGGTAGAATAGTTACCCCACACTGAGACCATAACAGGGAATTATTGTAGCAATTTTCTGAAGCTGCTGCACATGTGCTATACCAGTGTTAACATCAAATAATATCCCAGGTGGCTTAAACTCAATAAATCTGATAAATAACGTGGATTTATCAGCTAATGATGCAATAACATTTTTTTGAAAACCATTTGTTAAAGTTAGCATTTGTGCAGGGCTATAAAGGGAAGAATCATTGATGCAATTTTACGTGTGTTAATGAGAAATCGCAGAGGAGCAATGTAGGATGAAGAGCTGTGTTAGACCCTTAGCGGAGGAGAGAAACAGCACTCCAACAATCCTGAATGTAAAGCTTACGGAGCGTTTTGCATGTCCAGAAGGAGGCCCGGGACATGCTGGAGAGATCACATTTCACGGCTGGTTTAGGAACGCCTCTGGTCGACTATATAAGCGGCAGAAAATGAAGCATTTTTACTGTGTTCACAGAAGAGCCGTTGAGACACTTCAGTTAATGCAAATATTAACTTAGCGCGCTTAAACTGGGGGCTTGTAAAGCTTCAAATGCTGCAGAAGCGATTGACATTGTGTCTTTATTTCTTTGCTTCGGGCACCTTTAATGTTGTTCTGAAGGCTGAACTTTTACTTTTGTGTCAAGTTGGTGAACATTTCTCCCAGTAAGTCGGCAGAAGTGTCTCAACATAGGACTTTGTGCCCATTTAAGCTCTCTGTTCTCCTACAGGAAGCCCTGCAGCATGTCTCCCTCCTGCACAGGGAGGATGCTGCTGCACCTGTGACCTGTAGTGATCAGCGTTTCTCAGAGACCTTTAGGGATGGTTACATAACTTTATGTTATTCATGGAAAAAAACGGCTCGTTAGAAATAATTTTGACATTAAGGAAGGTCACTTTCTGGTTTTAATCTGTTAAATGGACAGCCTTCATATTTTCCCTTTGTTTCTGTCAAAGATTCAGTCAGTGAGGGGAAAATATTCACACCTCGCTCTTATTTTCTTACCTTGTCTCTTCTGATTTCTCTTTTTCTACCTCCGCCCCAACACCTCTCTGTTCTCTCCTTTTTGTTTCCTCCCCTCATCTTCACCTCTTCTCTCCATCCTCGGTGCTCAGCCGTTGATGTTTCGTCTCCTCCGGAAAAAGCTGAAATCCAGGAGATCCAGGTGATGGTGTCAGAACCTGACTCGGCTCCTAAAGACTCACCTACTGCACTGCCATCTGACCCCGCCCCCTGTGAGGTGAAGGTGGATGAGGATACGCCTCCAGCCCCGTCACAAGGTAATAAAAAAAGATTAACCCCTCAACATAAAACGCACCAGGCTGTTTTCATCCACTGCACCCTGAACTTCTCTAGGACTCGCCCAACAGGCGTGTGTGAGAGTGTAATATCTGGACGCTGTATTAGGGCGTTAGCTGGACTTTTAGGACCTCCTACATGTTCTGTCCACGCAGCCACTTCACCAAAACTACACAGAGCTTTTCCGATGGTGTAAACACGTGTGAGAAATGACGGCTATGGAAAGTTGAGTCCTCTGTTGCAGATGAGCCCAGACTGATTCAGAAGAGTTTGCAAACCTTCACCAGTCTGTATGAGAGTGACTGCAGCTGTCTGCAGACGGGTTTCCTCCTGTCAGCCGACCCGTGCAGTCACCTTTTGATTGAAGCTGGTCACCCAGAGGTTGAGGATGCAACATCAGTGCATCAACCAGGCTACAGTTTTTCCCTGGCACATAAAAGTTGCAGTCTTATGTCTTAAGTTTCTAGGATAATATAGAGCGACTAGAAAGACGAAGTCAATTATTAATAGTTCAGTCTTAATAAATGTCAAAGAAATGTCCTTCACATGCTGGGTGTATTGGTTTATTTAGTTAATACAACATATAATTTCAGTCATTTTACATGTTTTCTCTAAAGCTTAGTTTCTACTATATTTAACTAAAAAGTACTTTCTTTAGAGAGTAGAAACATTACACGCTGACAGTCCTGTGGTATAGTGAGGATCAGCAAACCAGCAGCAGCTCTAATCCAGCTGCATCAGGAGGATTAATCCAGGTGCTTCTAATCTCCCGCTTGAACTAACCCAGCATCTGAAATCCTCCCGCGCCGCTTTGCAGTTCAGCTCATTTTGAGCTAAATTTTAACTGATGTTAATCTCGATTCAAGTAACGCCTCCAAAACCTGCAGAATTTTTGGGTTCTCACCCAACAACAGCTGATTAGATGCAAGCTGGGTCCTGCAGTTTATTTATCTCTAATTGACGAGACTCCACATGCTGTAAGGATTTAAAGGCTGAGTCGAGAGCACTACAGGGCAGGATTTTTACTTCATCATAGCTGCAGTTATTTTCTTTCTTGTGACAATAAAATGGAGGAATTAATGTTGTGGATGCAATGATAGTATAGGAAACAGGAAACCGTGCACACATCAAAGGAGAACGTAGCACCACGCTGAATGACACTGTGTTGCTTTTTTCTCAAGTTGCTCTGCACTTGAACATCTTTATTTCCCTCCAGGTTGCCTTTGAGCATAAGCTTTTATTTCATTCTGAATCGAGCCTTGTTGCCTTTTTCTCTCCGACAGCAGACAAACCCGACTCCCCGCCCGCCCCCTCCGTCCTGGAAGCTGAACCGAGCTCGCCTGAACCTTCAGTAGAAAAAGAAGATGACGCGCCGCCTGCCGAGAGCGACGCTGCTCCGACAGCAGAAACGCAGCCGTCCTCAGGTGCGGTCCTTATCACTGACTTTGAGACGGTGGCTTACTGTAAATCCCCTGCGCACCTCTAACGCCTCCTCACGCTGTGCTCCTGCTTCTTCTTTTTTTTTGTGCTTTTTTTTTGTGATTGTGCTGGTTTTCATTTCCCTCGTGGTGTGGCTCTCTCACTCTTTTTGTCTTCATTCCCTTATAAATAAATCATGACCGAGCTGTTTGGTGGCCTGACAAACCCAAAGATAGCTTTAGACGCTGCTTTTTAAAAAATCTGACCTGCAATGCTACCGCCTCCTTCCACCGATCAGGACCCACTTCCTGTTTTGAAACTCCTCCCGGCTGTCTTCCTGCTCCTCCTCTGATGGACTGAAACTTTTAACTCCACCTCCTTTGTTGGATGCACTCCCCGTGTGCTGTTCCTCCTCCTCTTCCTGTTCTTCTCCAGCATGTAAAACCTTTTGTTTTCGTTGTTTTTATGGCTGTAATGAAATTCCTGCTGCTTGATGCTCTGCCTGCATTACCAAACCTTTTACTCTGTCTCCTCCTCTTATTTTTTTGTATTGATGTGAGCTGTTAATCATGTGATATGATCAGAGTGCATTTGCCGTCTTGCCTGTTTTGCAGTTACACTCATGGCATCTGTGGAACCAGATCATTTCAGTTAAAAACACATTTTATAAGCAATCGAATTCAAAACATTCAGACTCATAAGTATCCGTTAACGTGCTGCTCTACCCATCAGCAATCTCAGGAGGGAAATCTGAATAATTCAGGCCTCAGGCGCTGAGTTGTTGGTGAACGCTGGGAACAAATCTGGACTATAGATGGTGCACAAACTAAGAGGACATCTTGTATGTGAGCAGAGCCAAATGAGCTCCATTAAACTCTTTGAGGGTCTTCTTTGGGTAGTTTTTAGTGTAATGGCTTCGTCTGATCAGGTTTGCTCCGCGGTTTTATTTTAGACTAAAATATTGTGATAATTATTAGATTATTAGAAGAATTATGTGCAAACATGCAGCTAAATCGTGCCTCTGAGAAAGATCCACGTTTAATGAATTAGTTAAATAGCTTCCACCTGTCATACACCATCAGGTCAGGGTTTTATCTTGATTCTTGCAGTACTGTAGGCTCTGTGCTGATGCTCATTTGTCTGCAGCTCCATATTTGTTTCTTAAGCGATCTCCAAGGGTCTGTTTAATCTCTGTAAATAGGCAAGGGGCAAGAGTTTTGTACCTTTCTTGTTTCCGTATACAATCCATTTGCAGTATGTTGGACAATAATATTTTGCAGCCTTTGGTCACGTGCAGGCAAACGTTCAGATATATTTTTATGTATTTGCATTTGTAAACGATGCTGAAATCTTGATATTTGCTTCAAAACTCGTGGAAATTGGTGTTTTTAAAATGCTTGAAGGATGAAGAAAACAGTGGGTGTATTGACAACTGAGCAGTAATATTATAAACCACAGACATATTTAAATCTGAGATGTCAGCAAAGGCAAAGATGATGATGTAAGAGGGGGAAAGTGGGGTAACAAGTTTTTTTTAAATCTTATTTTAGGGCAAAGTCATCGAACGTTTTAACCAGTTTTCATCTGATTGGTCAGGTGATTCTATACATATGTTTTTGTTTTATTTTTTTAAGTCCAAGTGTTCCCTGGAGTTAAAGTTAGGTTAGATATTGCTCTGAAATGAAAGTCCCTGGAGGCGTTTTAATTTTGAAATGAATAAACAGCCACATTTGTATTCATTTACTTTTTAAAACATCTGCATAAGCCCAGAATTACACAATCCGTGCATCCATACAACAAAGTTCCCATCAGCCTTACTTATAATTTGTTGGTCCTAATTAATCTCCATGAATATACATGAGACAAACTCAAGTATTCTGCTGATGGGTCATGTTTGAGATGGCACAGAGTAAATACTCCCAGTCTGGGATCCAATCAGCTATTTTCTGATGCCAATAAAACCTGATTAAAAAGCTGTTGTTATTAGTTTTTCTTTTTAATAATCTGCATCCATAAACCTGCCCCGAGGACAGAAATGGAAATCTTTCCCCAGATATCAGCCGGCTGCACTGGAAGCCCAGAAAAATTGGCCACTAACTCCAGAGGCCCGATCATCAGACTATCTGGGTTCTCAGATTATATCCTAATTACCACATGCTTAGCAAGTCTAATCTGCCCAACACAGATTGGAAACTGCAGAGTCGGTGTGACTCTGGGGTGCAAATGTGGCTTTGAGCTCTGATGGTTCCTTTTTGCCATGAGTGTAGCTGAGTGCCTGCTTCAGAACTGGTTTCTGTTTATGTTGCTCATCTCTGTTTAAACCAGCAGTTCTCAGACTGTGAGGCCGACCTTTTAATTTACTAAAACTGAATCGTGGATCTCTTTTTTTCTGGTGTTGGACGTTGAAGAAAAAAGAGAACAACTGGTTTAAACTTGTTTTTCTTTTGTATGTGTCTCTGAACAACACTGTGCTCCTTTATGCCCCTTTCCTTCATTCGTTGTGACACCCCTCATTACTGCTGGGGTTGATGGGAGCACTGAATTATAAGGCCAACCAGCCCTTATATAGGTGATAGCCCATAATATTACCACTTCATGGTGCCGTGAGTCATGCACCGCTGGGAAGAGGAGTCACTCACCGTGGTCTGAATCAATGTTTTTCACATTTCCGTCCGTTCGTCTGTTTTTCTGCACGCTGTGGTTTAAAAGTGAGCTAAGTGGATAAACCACAGGCTGGAGGAAGTCCAGTCATTAGCACTCTCCCTGTACCCATTTATCATGTGACTGGGGTGTTATCACTTTGGCAAATGGCAAAGCTTTAAATAATAAATATTTCCTTTTCTCTGGAACTGTCATAATATGGAAACAGAGTTGGAAGTCAGCGTGAGTCGGGCTTAAATTCAGATGGCGTGATAAAAGCTAGAAAGGCGATCTGTGGGCAGTTAATTGATTAATCTCATAAAGTAAAACCAGAGGAGAACCGAATAAAATGGTTCAAACTGAAGGAGGCCTGTTATGCTTTTCCTGCCGCATGTATCCTGATACGATCCGTTAATCTTAAAAATGGTCAAAGTTTCAAAAATTGAGTTGATTTTTCAGGTGTCATGTGACACCATAGAAAGTATATGATCATGCTAGTCACAGAAGCTCCACCCATTTTTCTTATGCAGGTCGGCCAATCAGAAGAAAATTTCTTTAAAGGTGGTAGAAGCTAAACAGGTAAAATTAAAGCGCGAGTCATACTAAGCTTCTTTATTAAAGTCCAGAAATAAACACGGAGCTGCAAATGAGAATAGTTCCACTTGATGGAACCAAGATACCAAGGCTTTAAAATAATAATATGTGAACACACATATTCAACAACTTTTAATTAATCTACTCTTAATGTATAAATTAGGTTGTTGCCGCAAAGGATGATAAAAACGGCGGCCATAAAAAAAACAAAGGTGAACTGAGGTTGTTTGGACTTTTGCTGGAGCAAATTTTGACTTTTATTCTTTTATTTTCATAATTTTCTTTTTTCAAGTGAAGATTTGTTGCTTTTCTCTGTCATTTAATACGAATAAACCATACGTTTTTGGCATTTGCAACAATTTTGACATTTTAATTTGAATTCCTCGATTCTTTTAAAATTAAATCGAAATGATTAACACAGAATATTAGTTGATAACAGCTGCTTGTGTGTTATCTTTATCCAATTAGATCTGGGCCGTTTAAAAACAGACTCCAGTAAAATTTTTACCATTTGGACTGAGTACAGCAGTTTTAAAGGATCGCTGCTTTCCTTTTGTTCTGATATAAAAATCCACAGTAGCTGCATTTACACCTCTGATGACTCATTCGTGATAAACGGCACAAGTCAGATGAGCTCGTGTGTGTGTGTGTGTGTGTGTGTGTGTTGGCGTTAGGGTGGAGATCAGGAAACCAGGGAAATTAGAGGCACAATTAAGCTTTTAAAGGCTTTTCAGAGGAAATGAGCTACAGCCTGCTGGACAGATGATAGGGCTGATACAGTGGAGTCCGTTTAAAGTCTGATTGAATTAAATCGTGTGATGTTTCTGAGGCTCCAGTGTGGAGAGGCTGAATTGCGTGAATCACTCAAGTATTGGCAAACGCCAACATTAAAACACAAAGATATTGTTATAGCAATGTTTGCAGAACAAGTCACGGACACAACATTAAGAGGCTGTTTTGCACTCTTGGTAATGTTTATGGGTTGTTGGAAAGAGTCACGTGGCCGAGTGAAACCTCCTGTCTTCTAAAATTCTCCATCCTTTAAAACCTTTTTATCTATTAATGTTATTAAAAGGTAAAACAGTCTAATGTCAGGAGGTTTTAAAGTTCTGAACCAAATGTGAAGAAACATCTGTGTGTATTGTGTTGAAGAGATATCAACTGAAGTCGAGCTGTGTTTGAGCTGTACTTTTGTGCAGTGCCATCGTGCACCACAAGGTGACGCAGTAGGTCAGTGTAGCCTTTTTATTAAATTAAAATTTTAATATTTAAAGTTTAATAAAACCTCGTTAGGGAATGAAAAGATATACCAGAAGTTCAACCTGCAGCCTTCAAACCTCGCTGCTCATGAGAGGAAACTATAGCAAAAATAAATATTGGCTCTTTAGCTTGCAGATACTTTAGCTGCCTTTACATTAGTACCAACTTGGATCGACTCGACTTGGATCGACTGGTTTTCCATTGCAATTGAGTACCTCCTAATATGCTTGGCCATTGTCATAGCAACGCGTCAAAGCGTCCCACAATGTAATTAATATGTGACGCGAATGCTACAGCAACGCTGGACGTCCAGGCAAGTATATACCTGCTGCTCAGTCTGGCTGTTCGTTTGACTCGGGGACCACGGCGTTGTTTTTTTTGTAGCCGTTTCCCTCGTTGCCCGGTTTTAAAAATGGCGGTTTTGATTTTCGTGAACGAGACGCTTTCATGACTCATCGAGCGACGCTGCTGACCAGACAATCAGTAGCATGCAGTCTGATGACGTCACATTTTAGCACCTGCTCGGATTGTTTGGTACCCGGGAGTAGGTACTAAATTGTACCAGGTGCTATGACCTAATGGAAAACCCTGAAAAGCGTGAACCATGGCGAGTCGTGCTGAGTAGGTACTAATGGAAAAGGGGCTTTTGTGTGGTTCAAAATTTGTGTTAGATGATATATGTTGATATCTTTAAAGCTAGTTTCCATTGTGACCACAACTTTATTGGCATCTGCAGCATGGGAGGGTGGTGCAGGACAGGGGCGAGGTGTGTGGTGGGAGTGACAGGTGGGCAATCATTCTCTCCGAGCCCCTCTTTGTTTGCAGTGGCAATGGATAGGCTGACAGGTGGGAGTCTCTGCAGAGTATGATGTTTGCAGATGACTTTATGACAGTAGGGAGCAGGTGGCGGTATGCACAGGAGAGAAGAGGAATCAAAGTCAGAGGCAGGACAGAATAAATGTGTGCAGATGACAGTGAGACAGGTGCAACGAGGAGAACACGTAGTGAAGGTAGGTTAGTTTAAATACCTGTGGTCAATCATCCACATCACAGGAGAAGTGAAAAAGAGTGCTGGCCAGGTGGAGTGGGTGGAGATGCTTTGGATATGTGCAGAGGAGGGATGGGAGCTGCCAGGCTGGAGGAAGAGCTCAGAGAAGACTAATGGCTGTAGTGAAGGAGGTCATGCAGAGGGTTGGTGTGACAGGAGGATGGTAGAGAGCGATGATCTGCTGTGGTGACCCTGAAAGAAGATGAGGAGCATGTACTCATGACAGGAATGAGAAACGAGGAGGAAAAAGAGGTTTTACCGACTGTGTGTCTGTGCGGTGACATCATTTCCCGAGTGGTCGTTCCTCCATGGCATCAGCTGGAAGCAACATGAAAAATGAACTCGCTCGATATTAAAATGTATTAAACTGCCTCTCAGATTTAATTACACATTAACTGAAAGCACCGGGACGCCGTTCCGGATCTTTCCAGGCTACTTTAACCCCTTCCCTTATCTTTCCATCTTAGTGGGAAAGTGCCACGCCGGGGACGTGAAATACAACTGCTGTTTGTGACTCAGGGATCAGGATGCGTTCTGTTCTGCTCTGAGAGGCTTTCTGCAGCTGCGAGAGTTCATATTGATCACCAGCTTCTGTGCATGTGATACTTCTCTCATTGAGCTGCAGAGTGGCTGAATGCGCTCAGTGATGGCTGCAAATGTTCAGCCTTTATGGTAGTCTGAAGTGCGCTGGGTGAAAGGCACATTCTCTAGGCCACACACTTTTAAACATCCTCCTTTTGTTTGTATCAACAGACTGAAGCTGCAGCACGTCTGAGGATGGATGGATGGAGGAGGAGTTGGATGCATCACACTACTCATCCGTGACCACTGCATATCTAAATTTGTTTTAAAAAACAGGGAAAAAATGACTTCATCCATGATGAGGAGGTGGAGGAGGAGGAAGTGTGCATTGCCTCCACGGACCAACCTCTCCTTAGCGCTCTGAGCTGTGATCAAACACCCCCTCCCTTTGCTTCACCTCCTCTCTCTGTAGTACTGAGACATCAAAAGTAAAATGTCCATCAGTGTCTTGGTTTAAAAATGGCGATTTCTCTCTACAGACTCGTTGTCTCTGCTCCGAGAGAACATCTGTGTTTGTGTGCAAAAGTCATTCTAACACTGCCCTGAGAGCCTCACAGAGGTCGTTTCTGCCTCAGAGATGCTGCTGAAGTTACAGACAGTAACCTGGATTACTTCACTGCCTGGATTACTTCACTGCATCCTTTTTGTCCAGCAGGCTCTCATCCCCATTGATCGCCCAGCCTGTATAAGGTCGATGTGGTCTCTCCTTTCAGGACCAGGAACCGGAATTTCTCCACGGGAAAAAGACAATCATTAACTTCCAACTTCCCCAGTGATTGATTGGATTCATCTTATTAGCCGATCGTCTGCAAAATGAGGCGATCGCCGTCCTGTTCTAACATAGTTACAGGAAACAAGAAAATGATGATTGACACAGATATTGACCACGCTTAAACTGATATCCTGTAAGAGGATCTCAAGCACATTAATCAATGAAAAACAAATCTGCCTTTTCCTCAATTTTATTTTCTTGATGCTGTTGAAATTAAAAAGGCAGGATTACAGCTGCCAGACCCAGTTAATGTTGAGCTTTAAGCAGAGGTGACAGCTGTTTGCTAAGCTCGCTTCTTTCCGATCAGTTTCCGTCTTTTCCATCAGGTCACGCTGTAGTTTCACCGCTTCATTTTTTTTAAGGTGGCGGCACAGATGACGCAGATTTAATTAAATTTTAATTGATCATGTGATTCTAATTCAGCTCAGATTCAAACTCTGCTGTTCATCGGCTCATTTTGTGTCGAACAATATCGAACGTAATAATATCATGTAATGAGTTATTGTTTGTAGTAGATGGTGGCAGTAAAACGGCGCCCTTTTTACTCCGAGGACAGCAACTGTTTAGGTGTCAGGCACACCGGCTCGATCTGAATGGTGACGGCTTTTTAACTCGACTGCACACATAGTTACACCGTTTGGGCGAAATGTTGGCGTTTTCCATCCATCCGTCCGTTTTCTGCCACTTATCTGGGTTCGGGTCACAGGGGCAGCAGTCTGAGTAGACTTCCCTCATCCCGACCATCTTCTCCAACTCATCCATGTTGACACAGTCATTCCCAAGCCAGCCAGTAGATTTTATCAAGTTTTTATCACTAAATATAACTTTTAATCAACACTTAAGCAAAGATTTGTTCTTTGAACTGCACAGACTCGCTGTGCAACAACATAAACTGTGTCTTTGAATTATTTGGGAAGTGCAGCATGAAATTCAGACACTTTTCATAAAGATTAATTTATTATGTGGATTCATTTTTGATCAAATCTGAAAACACAAAAATATTGCTTCAGAATTCTGTGAAAATCACATTTTTGTGATATTTTTATCCTAAAGCTGAAGTTTGCTTGTCCTCAGAGGCAGCAGCCATCAGCAGTCTCTCTTCAGTCGTGTCACTATGTTGAGCCTAACACAGTGCATTTGATCTGATCTGAGTTACAAAGAGATTCACATATTTGCAACACAGGAATCCACCGACTGCATAGTTGCGGTGTTGGTGCAGGCGTAAAGCAGAGGGGTGTTTCAAAAGGCACGGCATCGAGCCGCCACGTCTTCATCTGCATTAAGCAGGAGTTTAGGGTTCTTTGTGCAAATCAGGAGCGTTCGCTCCAACAGGAAGTCTCTGGGAAGTCGTGGAAAATTGTGAAATTAACCCCTGTGAGTCTGTAATGAAGACCGATTCAGCAGGCATCGTCCTCCCAGACGACTCGCTGTGCTGATTTTGGTTTTAATCCATTGAAAGGCCGTCGGTGAGTTTAAATATCAGGAGGTAAGGCGTGCAGTAGAGGGTTAAAGAAGAAACTCCCAACAAGTCCTCAAACCTCAGTTTCACCCATTTCTGAACTCGTCAGCGAGCTGCAGCACGTTTGACGTGTCCAGATTAAAATCAGTGAAACTGAGGTTTGTCCGCGTGTTCCTGACGTTTTCTTCCTTTTTAATCAGCTGCTGCTCACCTGCTTTACCTGAAAGAATCATGTGACCTACTCGAGTCTTCTCTTTATTTCAAATCTATCAAAATCAATTATGTACACAGGAAAAAGTCACTCCAGTTGATGATTTGATTATGTAATTCTCTCTGATGTTGCTTTACATTTAGGCGACTACACTTTCCCGGCCCTCTTAGGACTCGCTGCCTCCATCATATGAAGTTTGTTTTGTTTTTTGGGATTAAATGCAAATGTTTTAAACTGTCGTTTGTGAATGAAACTCTCTTTTTTTTCTTTTTTTTTTTTTGTTCTGATGGTTTATTTTGGAGTGAAACCGCTCTCTCATACCTCAGCGGGCCAAGAGCTTCAGAGTGAGTCTGTTTTCTCAGCTCGCATCAGCCGGAGCGTTGAACCGGTGGCGTTTAAACACACGTGGATGAGTGGGGATGCTTTGGTTTTTGTATTCTGTATCCAAGGAATAAAAGTGATGCCTCTGGGCTGAAAGAAAACTGCAGTATGTACAGTTTTATAAAAGGAATTGAAGTTTTTGTTCCAGAATTGAATGTCTGTGCGAAATGCAGCCTGTGATCTCTGAAGTTTCCTCATCTTCCTCTTCTCTCCGGTTTGAGCAGGGCGTGGTTGTGTGTGTTAGTCCGGTCTCCATCACAGTCCAGTCCTTTTATCGGTTGTTCAGATTCAGCTTGCTGCATCCTAGCACGCATGTTTAGGTGAAGCCACTCTGATTGGTTCACCTCCTGAGCCCAGCAGGCAGCTGATATCTAATCAAGTTTTACTGTCCAGCGTTCTCGGTCTTCGCCCACCTGCTGATTCTCCTCCAGCAGCCTGTGCAGCAGGGGCGTCTCCGGGCAGGTTTTCTCCTTCTCCAGGACGACCGACAGGAAATCAGAATGATCAGAGACGCTGTAGGGAACTAATGGAGAGTAAGCTGCATGTTCCTCGGCTCAGGATCTGCTTTGGCAGAGGAGGTGATTGCCTCTTCCATCCAAAATCTGAGTGTGACTCTGAGGGCAAGTTTCACCTCATTTCTCTGACCCCAAGTTCATCAAGTTTCTCTGAAAACACAAATGTAGAAGGCATACAAAGAGATGTAGCTTCTGTTTTTTTTATGTTATGAAAGACCTCGATGAGAAATGTCCACGTCAGAGAGGGAAGGAGCATCCAGACGCTTGTACAGCTTTTAAAAAATATATTAAATGAAATGAAAAGCAAACTTTTGCTTTATCTGTTTGTGTTTTATTCATTCAGCCAATAAATGTTTTCTCTCTCTCTCTCTGAAGTCTAACGTGTTTGTTCTCCACGTGAGGAAATGATTTAAAATGCTGGTAATATTTCCTACATAACAGAATCTGGATCACCGACACCGTCTCTGCTCCTTTTGTCCGCCACCAAGACGCGTGAATTCAGGTCCTGCTCGCAGACACAGTCCCGGACTGAGAAGCCGATCTGCGTCTGCACACACGAGCTCCTGTTTGAACATTGTGACCTTGCTCGCTGCAGGACAGGAAGACAAACGGTTCCTCCTCATCCTCAGTTAACACTACATAACGGGAGCTAGTAATCCCCCCTCCTTCCGCTGCCTGTGACTCATCTGTGCAGAGAGGGTTTATTTATTTATTTTTATTTTATTTTGAGGTTTCTGATGTCTCGGTGGGGTTTTTTTTTACAGTCTCTGTACAGATTTGTTTAGGCTGGAGGAGAAAATCTGAGGCGGTGATGATTTGTGGATGGAGATGGCTCTGCGCCTTCTGCTGCGGGACGTTTCTCCCAAACTATGACCCAATCGTCAGGTGTTGCGTACTTTGAGCTCCTCCTCGTCCACAGTTTCGTAAAGACTGTCAGGAAAAACTCGGAAGGCCGCCGGAAACGTGGCAAAAATTCCTTCACAATAAGAGGATTTCTGTTTTCTTTTGGCCTTGAGAGTAACTGACGACAAAGGAGCATCTCAACATCTCGGCTTCGAGATGATTGTGATGGGTCAACACTGAAGGACGCAGAGATAAGACACCAGAGTTAGGTTAGGGTACCAAAGCTTACAAATAACTCAGCAGGGACTCCAGTACAGCCAGTAGTTTGGCTGTACTGGAGCAGTCCGTGCGCAAGTGTGCCATGAATGAAGGAAGAAGTAAGTCCCGTGTTAACTGGTGTGTTAGCTTCAGGTTGTTTATCTATTTACTTACAGTTTTTCAGACTTTGTTTCCATTTTAGAGCCGCTTCCTTTAATCCGTTACATTTATCATTTTGCTCTTCAAATCCGAGAGGAATTATTCCCACTTTTCCAAACTCAACATTTTTACTTCCCCAAAAGTTGATTTTGTAGATCTGGAAACGCTACGTCCAGATTCAGATGAACAGAATCAACTTTTGGGGATTTACTTACCTGGATGATTGAGCATGCATCAAGACTTTGTTTGGATATTTAATGTTCATTATTTTCTTCTCTGTTTTTGCCTGGGAGAAAAATATATTTTAGTCGTTCTAAATTCATCATGTAACTTTCTTCTAATTATTTTAGTTAGCAAAAATGTTTTTTCACATCTAGTTTTATTTTTATTTTTAGTTCACTATAATAACCTTGATTCTCGAGCTATGTACGTTTATCACTCGTTTTACTTTGAAAAGACACGCCGGAAATGACTTCTTTAATTCAGAGCAGATTACTAGCGGTCCCATCCAGCTGATAGCGGAGCAAATCTTCCTGAGTTCAGTTTGCCCTGTGCGCACGGAGGGCTCAGGGAGCTCCAGCATCCCGCGGAGACGCACCAGAGAACCTGAAGCGTCTGCGTCCTGATCCGGGCCCGGAGGAGCGCAGCGGGGCGGCAGCGTCTGCAGACTCCGATGAACGCACAACAGTCAGCAGGGGAGCAATCTTTGAGTAAGACTTCAGCGCTGATACCGAGATGAAGGCGGCCAGCAGACAGGGCAACATGACCGTGGAGAAGCTGAACGGGGACATGAACCGGAGGCCGAGCTACCCCGGAGAGCTGCGGGCCAAACACGCCAACATGTCAACTAAGATCTGGGTGAAAGTGGCGATGGCGATCGCCTATTTCCTCTGCGTGTCCGTGGCCGCGTTCATCCTGGTCATTTACTACGTGTTCTTCTGGACGCCGGGCAAAGCGGACAACATCACCGCGACACCGAACCAGAACCCGAACCAGAACGTGTGCCTGGCGAAGCCTTGATGACTTTTACAGCACGCACGCACGCACGCACGCATTAAATAAGTGACTGCACACACCTGACACAAGGATGCGGCGGCGGCGGATGGATGGATGAGAGATGACGGCACACAGACAGACATGACTGCATCCAGAGTTTGGGATGCTGACTGAGGACCTGAGGGAGGACAGAGGGGGGCAGGTGCTGCCGGGATGCATCAGTGTTCCGCATGCAGGATGCAGGTGGAGAGGAGGAGGAGGGGATTTTTCTTTCCAGCTTCACCCCAACACCCAGTCCTGAGGGGGTTTATGGTTTTTTGTTTTTCATTTCACTGAACTCGTCTGTCCAATGAGAGCAAGCCTTAGGAACACACACCTGGCATCTTTTAGGGCTGCTTCCCTCTGATTTGTGGCTGTGTGCCTGTAAATGTTGGTTATTCTGAGAGTCACGCTTACATCCTTTAAATCATGGATGGATTAGGTGAAGCAGGACTCCTGGGTGCAGACATGCAAAAGGTCCCGCACTCCTCTGGGACTCCCCGTGAGGTGTCGCAGGTAAATGAGTGCTGCAGTTAAATTTCAGTAATCACTTCTCAGGCTGAGTCCTGACCACTGAGAGCAGATATCGCACTACAAAATGACAGATTGAAGAAGGTCCTGCATCTGAATGCCACATCCTCAGCAGAGGTCACATTATTTCTTTATCGAACGCTGTCTGCTGAAGCTTTTAATGTTCCAGGACCTGGTGATTTTTCTCTCTTATGTGACTCTTCATTGAATGTGTTTGAGTTTTAGGTGGATGACAGGAAAAACCCTCTGGGTTCTGAGAGCATACAGTATGTTGCATGCTTTCATTTCTTCCATCATATTCTAAGCAAAACAAATAACAGAAAAATTAAGTCTCTAGATCACTCGTTATGATGTGCAGCTAACCAGAAACAGGGATTATTTTTCTGCTGCTCCTTCTATAAGTGAGATCACAGATGCTACTTCTTTAAATTACCCACCATACATTCAGACCATTCAGTCTGAGATTTCGGTGTCTTTTTCACACTTGTCCTAGCCTCTTAGTGTAAATCTAACCAATGTCTGTGCCCAGTTGGTCGCCCATGAGTCCATCCGTGCTTTAACTCTTTCACGTTCCTGTGAAAATTGGACCTCTCCTGTTCACTTCCAGCTCTGTATTTTACACTCTGGCAACCTGCTAGAGTAGCTTTGCATGATCAGCAGTTCAAAATAATCTTTATTTTTCCCACATGGCCTTGTTGAAGCCCCTCAGCTCATCAATTCTCTTCTAATTGGCTGCCCAATGCAAACAGCAGGTGGATGGGACCTGTACCTGAGAGCTCTCTCTCACTCTCTATGACATCACAGAGAGCTGAGGGGGAAAAAACCGCCTGAACATGCACTGACCTCCTTATTTGAAACTTTGTCCGTGTTGAATATGAGCATCCAGCACTGGGACAGGAGATATATGCCAAAAAAACCAGGAAAACCATAAGAGGTCCCCTTTGAAAATTCACTTTATACACCAATGCTCCACCTTATGGAAGCTTAGAAATCATGAGTGTGCCCTGATCCTTTAAACATCCTGGAGAACATCCCAGCAGACCCCTCAACCCCCGAAGCTGATCCCAGAGAAACCTCATTAGAAAACCCCACCAAAGAACTCTCAAACCCCCCACAAGAGTGCTTGAGCCCTAAACCCCAGCCTACAAACCCCTTCAGGAACCCCTGCAACTCCTCAAGGACCCTGCTCTGCACTAATGGAGACTTCTTTTTTTCATGCCTATAGAGGACTTTCTGGTTTTTCTCTTTTTTCACAGCAGAATGCTGTTTTTATTCAGGTATCTAGAGGAACTTAAAGCGATACTGTACTGTAGCAGAAGTAGCCTAAATTGTGATCTTCGGTAGCTTGTAGCCGTATGAAATGCAAGGTGATCACTCTCAGTAGTTGCAGCAGTTTTACCTTTTTAGAGCCATCTTTGTTGTCTTGCACAGAATGACCGTTAATTCTCAATGCAGTGTCACATTTGTACCTCTTCTTCTCGATGACACGCTTTGTTCACCTCACTTCCTTCTTCAGAATTTAGGCTAAATCTACTAGACTGTTTTATTAACAATGTAGCCTTGAGAATTTATTGTTATGATATGATAAACTATGCATTTATTCCAGTGTGGGTGTGTTGTCTTTCTGTCAGCAGTTGAGCAAAAACAGGCGACGGGGCGGGCAGCTTGGTGTCGTCCTGTGCTGAAATAACGCAGGGACATTTTACTGAAAAGGCCAAGCTGACGTCAGGGGAGTGCTGGCCTGCATCTGAAACAACACA